TTCACTTTTTTATTGCGGAAAGACTTTGATTATTTTTTTTGTAAAGTGAGTTTTACCTAAATTCGAGTATATAGCAAATACAGTCAACTCTTATAACGAATTGACGGTTCTGGAAAGAAAAAAAATTCGTTATAGAAAATCACTGGACTTATGGCACTCTCTATACTGAAATATTATGAAATTTTAAAATTTTAAGTTCGTTATATCCAGAGTCGACTGTATGTAATGTATAGTTAAAGCATGTATAGTAGAAATTAAGGTGGTATGTATAATTCGTAAAAGAGATTCTTTATCTATAACTAAGCATGAACCTAATCTTAAAAAGGGATAACTTATAAAAAATAAATTTTAAAGTTTTTTTTGTTTCATCAGCATTAACAATCAAAAAAGCGTTAATGTCATTGCTGATTAACTCCGATGACGAAGATGTCTTCGTCATCGGGTACGTACGTACGTAATATTCAGCTATTTCCATTAACAGAATGTCAATCTTGACTCGGACTTTACTATCAAATTTAACCAAATTCAGCGATTTTTTATGCTTACGTACTACGTGTAACCAATTAAAATTTTACAGTCCGGTACGCATAAATATCTGGATCAAGGATGATAGAACCATAATCCATCTTTTTTTGCTTGTTAATAAGGTGTGTGAATCATGATTTTACAATTCTTTCGAGGAAACAGTGTTGGGATTTGTAATGTTCGCAATAAATGTAATACTTTCGGTATTAACATCTTTACAAATAACATTAATAATTATCATAAATTATTTTCGTATCGACGACGCGATCATTTTTTTATCTATAATATTTATTCTTTAAAAGAGTGAGTGTAAATTTTCATTGGAATATTTAAGTTTGAAAAGATTCAACCGGAGTTTATCGGTTTTGTACATTCCCATTTTTCAGCCAGTCATTGGTAGCAATAAACGGTAGGTAACTGTAAATATTCGATATAAGGCAACGTTAGGAACCATAAAATCAACTTTAATTGCATGCTATTCAAATTAGCATATTATTGAGTATCTATTGTAGACACTGCATGTAAAGATATCTAAATATTTTATGCACTCTTCTGATTTTAATTAATTGTTCAAAAAGATTTACCCTGGGCAACTCTTCAAAAAATGTCATATAAATTACCAAATTCAATCCCCGATTTTCCTACATATGGATTGCTTCCTAAGGAGGTACGAATCCAATTTTCTTGTTATATATATATAATGCCATTTTTTTTCTTTTGGTTAATTGGATTATAAAATATTAAAAGGAAACTGAAGCTGCATCATTTTTGAAAAAACATCCTGAACATGATGGTCGTGACATTACTATTGCTATATTAGACACAGGAGTCGATCCTGGTGCCGCTGGTTTACAGGTAAAAAATATAATTCACTAAATATTATTAACAATATATTATTAACTAAATATTAACTAAATATTATTAACTAAATGTTATTAACTAAATGTTATTAACTAAATGTTATTAACTAAATGTTAATAAATTCTATTCTGATTTTAGACTACTACCGAAGGAAAACCAAAAATTATTGATATCGTTGATTGTAGCGGTTCTGGTAAAAAAAAAAAAAATTTTTTTTTGGTATTTAATTATATGGCATATGTATATTTTTTCTGATTTTACGTTTTATTTAAATAATAAGGCGATGTAACAACAAAAATTATTGTAAAACCTGTTATCAAAGAAGATGGAAATGAGACTTTACATACAATTCAAGGCTTAACTGGCCGTACTCTTATAATTGATCCAAGTTGGAATAATCCTTCAGGAGAATTTCGTGTTGGTATTAAGAGATTATATGAGCTATTTCCAAAAAATCTGGCTAAAAGGCTTCAACAGGTTATTAAATTCAGGTGTAATTTATTTATTTTATTTATTTATTTTTTTTTAAAACTAAAAAATTATTACGATATATGCATATATGTGTATATGTGTATATTTTTTTTAGGAACATAAAGAAAACTTTGTAAATGAACATCATCGGCTTCAAGCCGAAGCACAACAAAATCTCTCTACTTGGGAAGAATCTCATTCTGCTTCTTCGAATCTATCAGAAAGTGATCATGCTACCAAAGCTGATCTTGAAGCAAGGCTAGAAGTGTTAAAAAATATGTTAAAAAGTTATGATGATCCCGGTATACTTTTAGATGTGGTTGTATTCTTTGATGGAAGTGATTGGAGAGTTGTTATTGATGTTGATGAAAGTTGTGACCTGAGAGGTGGTTTTCAAGCATATTAAAATTTTTAGTTGTTTTTTTTATATGCCATTATATTACCAACATTATTTTACCTTAACTATTGGGATTATAGGCGCTCCACTTTTGACTGATTACAGAAAAGAACGACAATATCACACTTTCAGCAAAGAAGATAAGATGAATTTTTCTGTTAACATTTATGATGAAGGCAATACTGTCAGGTGAATATTATGTTGTTATGTGTTTTTATCACATTTATAAATTAATATCTTATATTTCTAACTTATTTGCTATTATAAAGTATCGTTACAACGTCTCATTCTCACGGAACCCATGTTGCTGCTATTTCTGCAGCATATCATCCAGATGAGCCTATTCTTAACGGGGTATTCAATGTTTAGAAATCAAATATAAATTATTGTTAATTCATCATATGCTTTAAAAGAAAAACATATATATTTTTATTTATTGATGTAATCTCTATAGGTTGCTCCAGGCGCTCAAGTAAGTATCTTGTTTATTACACTTGTATTTATGATTAAAAAAAAACGTTAAAGTATTAATATTTGTCATCACCCAAAATTTTATATAGATTATTTCACTTAAAATTGGCGACACCCGATTAGATGGTATGGAAACTGGTGCTGCACTGGCAAGGGCTTCCATATCACTCGTAGAAACTAAATGTGATCTTGCTAATATGAGTTTTGGTGAAGCAACTTCTGTACCTGATTATGGTCATTTCATTAAATTGATTCGCGATGAAGTTATTGGAAAGTATGGTTGTATTTTCATAAGTAGCGCTGGAAATAGTGGTCCTGCTTTAAGCACAAATGGTGCACCTGGTGGTACTTCTAGTGGTATGTAAAATTTCTTTTTTATTCCTGTGATCCTTGCTATGACTTGTAACTGTTTTTTTTTTTTATTAGATATTATTGGGGTTGGTGCCTATGTTAGTCATTCAATGATTCAAGCTGAATATGCACTTCTTGAGTCGGTTCCTGAACGCGCATACACGTGGTCTTCTCAAGGCCCTAATGCTGATGGTGATATTGGTGTTGATATATATGCTCCTGGAGGGCAGGATATTTTTTTACACATTTGATTGAAACAGTTCGTTTGATTCATAAATAATATATATTTTATTCGAACAGTGCTATCACATCTACACCACAATATTCATTAACAAAGTCTCAATTGATGAACGGAACCTCCATGTATTTATAAAAATTTACTGTGTTTTTTTTTTACAGTTTATCTTTCTTATCTGTAGTTTATTATTAATCAAAATTAATCAAAACGCTATCAATAGGTCTTCACCTAATGCAACTGGATGTGTAGCATTACTTTTATCAGGTCTTAAGGCTGAAAATAGAAAATATTCGCCTTATATGATTAAAAATGCACTTGTTAATAGTTCGAAACAAATAAATGAAAATTTTGGTGTTGGACTTTTACAAGTTGAAAAGACATGGGATTATCTTGAAAAATTTTATGAAGTTCCAGATAAAGATGTTGTTTATGAGGTGTGATAAACATACGAAATAGCTTTCCTAATTTGTATAATTCCAAATCAAATTTAGTTAATTATATAATTTAAATTAGGTCAAAATTTCAAACACACCAAGAAGTAAGCGCGGTATATACTTGAGAGAATCATACGAGACTTCAAGTCCGCAAACTATTAATGTCTTTATTAGTCCTAAATTTATGAAAGAGATTGACCCAACTTCTGGAGAAAATAACCAAAAGAAATTTGAGCTCGAAAGAAGATTGGCTTTAATTAGTACACAAACCTGGGTTAGAACAACTGATTTCTTGTTTTTAGGTAGTAAAGGTATGTAGCATTATTTATCTTTAATATTTTTTCATGTTCATCTAATATCAAATATGATTTTCGTTATATAGGTAGATCATTTGATGTAAAAGTCGATCCAACTAATTTAGCACCTGGTGGATTACATTTTGCTGAAGTTCAAGTAAATTTCTTTTACGATTTATTTATTACAATTTTTGTATTAAACTTAAGAATTATTAATCATATAATTTTTCTGTCAGGGTTATGATACAACTTGCCCAGAACGAGGTCCTCTGTTTCGAGTACCTGTTACTATTACAAAGCCAAGTATTTTAACTAACGGATCTAAAGTTTGTTTTGACAAATTAACTTTTGGTCCTGGTCATATTGAAAGAAGGTTTATCAAGGTTCCTGATGGTGCTACATACGCAGGTATTTATATATTTATGATTATTCTTATTTACAATAAAAATTTTTTAATCACCACCACTCATTTTTAATATTTTTGAAAGATGTAACGCTTAAATTTGTTACAAATAAAGCTACTTCACCTGGATTTTTCTGGTTACATATGATACAATTATTGCCATTGAGACGGTTCACACATCAAGAACGTGAATATACATTTTATTTTGCTAAAGGAAGTTATGGTGATGGTAGTGGGGATGAACAAATTGAAAAAAAAAGTTTTGCTGTTTGTGGTGGTGTAACTATGGAGGTTCGTGATTTATGTATTTGTTAATTTAACAGTTGATAATTTATTCATATTTGTTAATTTAACGGTTGATAATTTTATTCACATTTTATTTTATTTTTTTTTAAAAAAAAAGATTTGTGTGGCACAATTTTGGTCTAGTATTGGAAATCACGATATATCATTAGAATTTGTTTTCCATGGTATTCAAATTTCAAACAATGCCATAAGTGGAAATAAAAGTGTTTTTATCAACGGTGGGAATCCTTTTACTCGTTTGGATATTATCGCACCTGTTAGACGAGAAGAAGGGATTAATCCTTCTATCCAGTTAGGTAAAAAAAAAAAAATTTTATTCAATTTCAATGATAAGCAAAAAAAAAAAATGACAACAGTGAAAATGTTTAATTCATTTGAATAATTTTTTTTTATAATTTAAAGAGACCATCCGTAAAGAAATTCGACCAACAGAATCAACCTTAAAACCACTTGGTATAGATCGTGATGTTCTTCCAGATTCTCGAAGAGCACATGCTTTAACCTTAACTTATAAATTCTCTACGACTGAAAAGAATTTGTCTGTTACACCAAGATTTCCTGCATTCTTTGATTTACTGTATGATTCTTACTTTGAAGATTTCTTTGCAATGTGTAAGTTTTTTTAAATATACATGTTCTTAGAATGCAATGTGAATAAATAATTCGAATATTTAATTATTTACTAATTGTTATTTGAAATTTTATTACATTAATGTAGTATATGATGCAAATAAAAAAGTTATCGGCTATTTAGATATTTATGCCAAGACTTTTAAACTAGAATTTAAAGGAGATTATATCATTCGTGCACAAGTTCGTCACCAATCACAAGAATTATTAGAGAAATTGAATAACACCGTATGCTTTTTAGATTATAATTTAAGCAAAAAGGTTAATTTGGATGTATTTGGTCAAATACATGATGTTTTCACTGCTGAAAAATCAACGGGTGTAAAAAATTACTTGGAAAAAGGTGAAAGGCAAGCACTATTCATTGCATCACCCAATGATTATTCTGTTTATCCAAAGGATAGTAAACCTGGTGATTTATTAATAGGACGTTTGAATTTGGTAAACAACTCTAAGATTGATGGTGGACAATATTTAATCAGTTTATTGATTCCACCCGCTCCTGCCAAATCTAAAGATTCTTCCAATGGTGGAGGTGAAGATGGAAAAGGCCTGGCGCCTACTAGTAACTCAGGTGGTCCATCTGAATCTATAGAAAAAAAAGATGAAAAAATCAATGATGAACTTTCGGAAGCAATTCGAGATTTACAAATTTCTTATTTGAAAAAGTTTCCTACGGAATCAACGGCAAGAGGAGATTTATTTTCAGAATTGGAAGATCATTATCCTTCACATTTACCAATTTTACAAACTAAATTAGAGTTACTTCTTGAATCACCTGGAATTTGTGGTAATAAAGAAAATTTATCACCAGAAACAGCGAATAAAATCTTGGAAATTTCTGATGAATTATTAAAAAAGATTGATTTAGTAGAATTGGCTCAATATTATGGTGTTAAACAAGATACAAGTCTTAATGAAGCCGCAAAAAAGAAGAAAAAAGAGAATGATGATAAGAAGAAAGCTGTCATATTAGCTTTAGGTTCTAAAATCCAAGCTTTGGCTATTATTGCGTCAACTAGTTCTTCAAGTGATAATTTATCAACGCAACTTGAAGAAACTTGGAAGCAACTTGCTCAATGGTTGGATTCTACACCACCTGTAACAGACTTTAAGCAGTTACAAATTTATCTTATACGTGAAAGAAGAGAAAAACGTTATGGAAATGCCCTCAAGGCACTTGGAAAATGGCTTGGAGAAACTGGTTTGGGTAATGATAATATTAAAGATTACGAGAAAGCTTTGAAATTAAAGATTGAATTGTTGAAAGAAATTGAATGGAAAAATTGGGAGAAATATGAAGAAAAATGGAAGATCATTAGAATTCCACCTTGCGGTTATGTGCCTTTTTAAAGTTGCAATGTATAATCAATAATTTTTTTTTAAAGATTATTACAAGTAATTGAATTTTTAAAAAAAGAGTTTAGAGTTTAATATAGATAATTTAAATTTAAATTTACTTTTGATTTGTTTGGTATTTACGATTTATTCCAAAATGTTCACTCGTAATTTAAGTTGAATAAAGATGATTTATGTTTAATAGTAAATTTACTGTATATGTCGATATGATCTTTATTTTTTATTTTTATTTTATTTTATTTTATTTTTTGTTCATTGGTTTACAAATTGGCCTTGATCGCCTTAATTATGTTGGAATTTTTACAGTTATATGTGACATGTGAAAACAAAAAACTTCTTTTTTTAAACTTAATTGAGGGCGTATAATAATCTCACAATAGTTTAATTCTCACATATGTCCTTTAAGTTTGTATTGTCCTCTTTATATTAAAGAAAAAGCTATTCATAACCATTACTGTTGATAAGTCTCTAATGCTAATGATGTTTGATAAATGTCTCATTGTTAAGGTTCGTTGCATAAAGGTCGTTGGCGTGCCACTATGGCATGCCATTTAAGTTTACTATAAAAATAAAAATAAATATTAATAAAAAAATCTTGATATTAGCATTATAACATATACATACGTACTGTAATCATAATAAAAATTAACAAAACAAAAACTTTGAAGATGTCTCGACACCCACAAGATCAAATTCTATTTTTTTTTTTTTTTTGAATCCTCTAGGCTGCAAAAACTTCGTTTTTGGCCATTTGACCCATTTTTATTGACCCACCCTAAAAAAAGATTCGCGTCGTTTTTTAACCCACGTAATATTACGCGACAATAATTGTGTCACGTGCATATCTC